ACGGCTAAAAATAGTAAAAATTTCCAGAACCTTTCAATATTTGATTATACTTTTCCAGCCCCCCGAATGGCCTGTATTTTCATGGCTAGACCCCTTGGATATCGGTTTTGTAGCTGTCTGAAAAACTATAACTATTTAAAGGCTGTTACATAGGCCCTCAACGTTATCCATCCCCAAGCCCAAAAGTGATGATTGTCGAAGCATAATGAAATAGCCCAAATATTTAGCGAGACACAAGATAAAGGCCCATCAAGCACTTTTTTGGGATTCCAGCATAAAATAACAACACCTGTTCCAAACAGTTAAAGTTTAAAAATTATAAACTTTCCTTGCCTACTGAGAATGGAACCACCGGCCAATATGATTTTACGCGCGAATTTCCCCGAATTAACTGAAAAATGAATGCTGAAAGATGAAAGAGAAAACTTATCGCTCCGCGGGGGAAAAATTTTGGTCACGTACATATTTTTTGTTCCCTTTTTAATACAATTACCCGTGCAGAGGTGTTCAGAAACGCAAATCAACTTGCAAAGATTAAATTTTCCGGTAACCTCGCTCAGGCTTTGTATTTATTAAGTTTTAAAAACCTTTTTTAACATTTAACATATTTTGGCGATTAAAAATAGCCTATACATAGGGCGGAATGACAGGTTTTAGCAAGCCCCGGGAATTTCAAGCACCAAATTCTGCTACGCTATGCTACATATCCGGAGAATCGAAGCAAATATTAAGTGGTACCCTGCATGTCCATTCTGGTCGCGTTTTTTTTAAAATTTTTTAAAATTGCAGGGTAAGTCCTGCTTGCTGTTTTTGGGGTTGCGCGGCGAGGGTGGGTGGGGAAAAATTGTGAGAACTCTTTTGGGTTCGTACCTCTTTACTTTTTTTCCGCCCAAAAATGTTTTAAACCGTGGGGGCCCTGTTTTCAAAAAAAGTTCTGAACCCCCAATCAAGGGGTATTTTTTAAACTTTTGGAATGGAAATTGTAGTTTTGTAGCTTTTCTCAAACATCGTCCACGAACTGATGATCAAAAAACATCACGCGGTTTGTACAATCAAGTTAGTATAAAAGTCTTTTTCATATACAGAGGGGGGCTCCAAATGCAAATATTACATTGCCATATAATATTGTAATTTTGGGACAATCACAATACTAATACGATCCCCCCTTTAACTTAAACTTTGTAATCGTATTCCATGCGTGTTGGTAACTGTAGTAAGTTGGGGAAGCTTTTCTTGTCAAAAAAATTTAAAATTTGTTTCCTTTGATAGTAAATTATTTTGTCCCAAATATTATTTTTTAATAAACAAAATTTTTTTGACCAATTAACAAAGTCAATAAATCTGTGGCCTTTAAGGCGCCAAAGAAAATTGTAAAAGGGTCGGGGCAAATGCAGAAAAAGCCCCTAACTGCTACAAAACCCCTAACTGCTACAAAATGCCCCAAGCTACAAACTCCCCAAATGCTCAAACGCGCGCGCAGTGCGTGGGGGGGCGATTGGCAGTTAGTGGCAGTTGTGGGATTAGTGGCAGTTTTGTAGAGTTAGTGGCAGTTTGTAACAGTTAGTGGCAGTTTTGTGGCAGTTAGTGGCAGTTTGTGGCAGGTAGTGGCAGTTTGGTAGCAGTTAGTACAGTTTCTTTGCACTTTGCTCCTCTGTTACAGTACAATCGAAGGGATTATTTGTAAATTAATATCTCGGATGAATAATCTGGAAAAGTGCTTTAATCGATTAGACGACCACAAAACCTCAGCCCCGTTTAAAAAAGAAGGGAGCAAAAAGTGAGCTAAGTACATAAAAAAAAAAAATTTTCATATTTTATTTTTTAGATGATTTATTGTTTTTTTAATGGTGGGAAAAACGATCAAACGCTTATAACCCTTTTTAAATCCTGACTCCCGCCCCCAGTGCATCCCCGGTGAATTGGATTCGGGGAAAAACGCTTTTAAGGCTAAGCGCTTCCTGATTCCGGGGCCTCCCCTTCCGACCTTTAACTTGAGGGGATTTAGAAAAGCGCTTTCTTATTCCCGACAACCATGCTGATTATATAGGAAAAACGCTTAAAGCGAGAAAAACCCCAAGGGGAAAAAAAGCGGGGATTTCAATTTTAGGAAGCGATTATCATCTATCGATTGTGAGTGTTATACGCGTTAAAAAAGCGATGACTAAAGTTTAAAAAACGCTTTTTAATTTTTATAGCGATTTTTTTAGCGACTTATAAAAACTAAATTGCAATAACTTATATTTTTTAAGTGCTTAAATTAAACGCTTATTATTAGTTTATCACTAAAAATCTGGGCACTGAGGCGAGATTTTCGATTTTTCCCGCAGACGAGAAGCGGGCTATTATTTACTGGGGGCCCCGCTCAGCCCGTCATTCCGCCAATCTCTATTTTTGAACTAAAATATAATACCTGAGGGCCCCCCTAACGGGAAATCACACAAAGCGAGTCACCTCAGATAAGAGTTCAGAATGACGGGGGGAAGTTTTAAAAAAAATAAACAGTGGCGCCTATTTAATATATTTAATAAGTGGGAAATTCCCAAACGGGAAACGTCAAAAGTTATAAATATAAAAAAAATTTACTTTTCCTCTTCGGCCGCAAATTCCCTCCACAAACTGTCGGGAATTATTTCGCGGGGCCGAAGAAACGAAGGTATTTTTATATAATTATATTATAAAGGTTCGAACAAAAAGCTACGCCGCGCATTTATCACATCGGTCGTGACCCCCACGGGCGTTTCAACAATCGGGGGACCCCGCACTCGGCGCGGCGGGTCAACAATATATGACAAGCCCGCTCGCTTTTCGGCCAACCGCTTTTCTCCGGAAAATCGCCAAACCCGGAAAATCGCCTTAGTCGCTAAAAAAAAATAAATAAATTATAAAGGGTTTTTAAATTTATAAGCGTTAAAGTTAATTTATAAGCGCTTTTAGAAAATTATCGCTTTTTTGTATTTATAATTATATTACAGCGCTTATAATCCATAATTGATGTATAAACAAGTTTTTGAACCACTTATAATCGATAAAGAAGTAATTATAATTATAAAACGGTTTTTTAAAAGCGCTTTATTTAGAAGTTGCTCTAACCAGAGCCCTCTCGCTTGCTGTAGCGCGCGACCGCCGGAGGCGGCAAAGAGGGCTCTATCCAGGGCCACAAACTGGCACCACAAATCGTGGGTGCCAGATTTCCTCATCCCATATTTCTGATGCCGCGCGGGACGTGTCAGTCAGTTTTAGTCATGTCCGTGGATTGTGATTGTAATATCGGAAAACAATATTTTCTCATTGGATTTGATTTTTGTAGGGAGCTAATATACCTTCTTTGATCACGCACTCCATTTAACAAATTTTGCTTGTTCCTTTGTTTGTTGCAATCATTCGGTTGATCATTCGGCGGATGCTCCAAAGGGCCGGGACATATTTTAATGTTAATAATTCTCAATAACCAGCAGACTTGTTACCAGTTACCTTGCTAGTGCTACTCTTTTTGCTTTTGTCGTTTGCAATTGGACTTTAGATTAATTTTCTCATTGGATTAGATTTTTGTAGGGAGCTAATATACCTTCTTTGATCATGCACTCCATTTAACAAATTTTGCTTGTTTCTTTGTCTGTTGCAATCATTCGGTTGTCTGTTGCAATCATTCGGTTGTGAAACAAGCGCGTCACGCAGTACGCGTAGGCACATGGCTATGTGAAATTTAGAAGCGCTTAAAGTTAATAAGCGATTATTATGCATTATCAGCGCTGATCAAAAATTTCTTTTGTGGAAACTTGCCGATTTTTGGTCTCAAGGAGGATACTTATACAAAAGAGAATTGAGAAACTCGGCGAGAACATTTGTGGTGTTTTTGAACAATTAATGGAAAAGAAGCCATGATTTTGAGCTGCTCGAATTTGGAATATATCTGCTGAAAAACTTAAACCTAAAGCTGTCAAAGTATCATCTTTAAACTCTAGCACCGTTCATCAGATACTGATCAAAGCTAAAAACTTCGCTGACCGCTCTTACTATAAACAATAAATCGTCGCCCAAATTTTAAGAAAATTCTTGTGAAAAGGCCCTAATTTGGGAATGGGTATGAAATAAATCTGTATCGGTGTATTTTTGGACGCTGATTCCGAATCAACCCCCATGACGTAGGGTAAAAATGCTTCCCTGGAGAGTTATATGGGCAAAAAATCGTTTTGGTCACGTGACAGGCTAGTAAAACATGAATTCGATTGTTTAGGGCTCGGGTTGGGGTTAGGGTTGTGGTAATAGGGTTATAGATAGCTTCGGGGTTAAATATATTATGGTTTGGGTTAGCCTAGGGTTGGGATTAGGGTTTATGTAAAACCGTTTTGTACGGCTGCAAAACCATAAAAACCAAAGTCACGTGAAATTTTTGGGCGAGCGAATTAGTATTAGTAAGAGCCAAAGAACTCAGACTGTCTCAGTGTTTCAAAACTGTGTTTATTTCTCCGGATCGCTCGGTCGCCGGATCGAGGAGCGTGCAATACATAAAGAGTTGGTTCTAGATTTAAAGGGGAAGGTCAAGGAAAATCCTAATAAACGTTTATATTTTATCAGGACTGGTAAAATTTGTGATATGAGTGAGATATAATTGTTTACTTCTTATCTAATAAAATAGATATTACATATTTTTTGGCCATTTTTATATGAATTTTTACACTTTATATTAAATGGAAATATACATGCATTCTGGAGTTTAAATTATCACTTTGTCGTACCATGCCAGCCGATTTCAAATCGGCAATTTTTATTTTTAATAATATTGGTTCTTGATATAACTATAAGTGGGATATATAAATGATTCATTTGATTTCAATTTATAGTTACTATAGTTACTATACATATGTTTTGTACATCAACAAAGTAGTCATGTGAATGTGAACCCTATTTACTATCTAGCCCATTTCTATTTTTCTAGGTCAATCAAATTCTACTGATGGATCACATCACAAATTAATCGTCACTGATTGGTCATTGGCCGGATGACATGGTCTGATCTCTTTGGGGGTAAATTTCATGATCCAAGGTCCGCCACCGGGTAGACTTAGACTTTTCTTTTTCAAGAGAGTGTTTACTCATCAGGATCATTAGTACTCAATAAATGAAACGTTATCTCACATCAACATAATTGAAGAAGACATATTGATTGTTAACAAAACTTACAAATGTGGAGATTTCGATTCAATAGATTGATTTAAATTCAATAGATTTGAAATACACCACAATTCAATAAATTTAAAATAACCAGCGCCCGGCGCTGGTTACAAATGTTACTATTTGATAGATTTAAAATAACCAGCGGTGTTCGCCAGAGTTGGTTTATGCCGAGTAAATACAATGTGCGACTTATTTTTGTGGTGTCTAACCGTGACCAAATAATAAATAAATGAGCCGGAGAAAATGTTCTCAGAAAGTGGTTCCCTGATTTAGTTTAACGGAATCAATAGTCAAATTGATCTTACACCGTTATGTTTGCCCTTATGCTGTTTCTACTGCTACTGCTGCTGTTTCGTCTGCTGCTACTATTTCTTCTGTTTCGTCTGGTTTTATTTCGTCTACTGCTGTTTCTACTGCTGCTGTTACTGATGCTGATGCTGAAGCTGATGCTGAAACTGATGCTGACACTGTTTCTGCTACTATTGCTACTGTTTCTACTGCTATTAATACTGCTGCTAATGGTGATATTGATGCTGGTACTGATAATGATACTGATGCTGTCTTTGTTTCTGTTTCTGCTACCATTTCTTCTGCTACTGATGCTGCTACTGCTTTTGCTGTTGGTGTTTCAGCTGCTGCTGCTGCTGGTGTTTCAGCTGCTACTGTTGCTGGTGTTTCAGCTGCTGATGTTTCAGCTGCTGCTGTTGTTGGTGTTTCAGCTGCTGCTGCTACTGCTGCTGCTGCTACTGCTGCTGCTGCTGCTGTAAAATAAAAGAAAGCGACTGCCTTTCGTTTAAGTTTGTTAAACATGGAATAAAGTGATGTTCTCAGAGATATGTCGTATAGAAGAGGGTTAATCACCGAATTTATTGGTAAAACAAGGATTGAAAATAAGGGATACCACGGCGTTGCATCTAAAATATCGGCATAATGAAAGCAACAAGTAATGATAAAAGGTACCCAGCATGCAAAATCCGTAAAGATAATCCATTGAGTAACTTTTTGCAGTTTGGTATTTTTTTTCTTTATCTGTTTGTCCATCTCCAGATTTTTTGTAGCGATTTTGTCCAGCTTTCTTGCAGATTTCTTTACCTTAATCACTATTGCCATATAAGAAACTGCTATAGTGACAAAACACGCGAAATTAACCCATTAGGGACGATAGGGTCGTTTACGACCCACCTTTTCTAGAGGCTATAGAGGACAAACCAAAATACTAAACACCACGAATCTTTCGCACATATGCTCAAAATTTATTGGGCTACATTATTGACTTTCCAGTCGAGACCCAATTAATCACTAACAATTAAATAATTAGACTAATTAGTCGTCATAATTGGAAAATATTTCACTTAACTTCTTGCCTTTATTGGGACATTAAAACTTTATGTAGGCTTATTTTTTTGAGAACAAAATAGTTGCGGGCAACGATTTTCTTGGCACAAATGAAAAGCCCGTGATAATCAAATGTTCACAAACAGAGCTAGACGCTGTTCACTAACTGCGGTCGCATACGACCCACTCGTCCGGGTCGCAAACGACCCATCACGGTTTTTCAGCTATTACTTCTGAAACAAAGACGTTAGGACAAAATAAAAACTGTAGCATAAGTTAAAAACGTATGGTCAATACTGTGTGACTCTAACTTTTCAAAAATAGAGAATTTGGGTCATTAACGACCCACTCGGCTCACTTGCTTATTACTACATTTTTCCATGTAACTTCTTGAATTCCGCCTAAAACATGACATCATAAGTGCAAAATCGCCTCTCAGCAAGTGATTATCATCATAAATTGCGAAAAATCGGTTAAATGGGTCATTAGCGACCCACTAGGACCACAAAATTGATTAATTAAATATAATGTAGTCAAACTATTACAAATATTAGTATAAAAACATATTATATCTTGGTCATTACTCCTGTACGATGATTTAACTTTTAAAATCGATCGACTGGGTCAATAACGACCCACTCGGAAGTTGAACCACTTCATTAATTATCATGCTGTTCCACCATCAAGAAAGACACTCGTAGGTCTTAATTCCACACAAACCACGGTGGCTGACAACTAGACCTTCTGAGATCCAGGGCCAACTGAAGGGCAGTCATCACTCATCAAAGAGCTGCGAGAATAACACGACTGCATATGCCTGGAGTTGCGTCCTGACTATGGTGTGTGGAAATCTGTACCGAAAGGACCGTGGCCGTGTCGTAAAAGAAAAGGAGATCGGCCCTCGTTCCTAACTTGCTAGGTTATAGCCATGCTGTTGTTGTTGCTTATTAGATTCTGTTACCTTTTTCGTCAATTTCGAATCTTGGTAAACGACCTGCTACAACTCACCGCTTGAGACCCAGGGTCCCACGGTGATCAGATCATGTCACTCAAGAAAAATCCCCTGAACGAAGTTTACGAGATATCCTGTAACCTTGGGTAAATACTGAAAGAAGAGCGGTCAAATTGCATATTCTAATCCAACATGCCAATCTGTTTGACATTCCTAGAAAGTACAAGAATAACTAAACAACTGCTGCATTCAGATGGCTGAATGTACAGCTCTGTGAAGAAGGACAAGGAAAAAGCCCCCCCCCCCCCCATCTGGCTGGTGGTACTGCAATCTGCAATCTCTCAGACAACTACGTCGTTGTGGGTAACAACCCCGCAACAACGAGGCAGCTTTCAAAACGAAACCAAGTATTACGTAATCGGCCGAGAGAGAGGGGGGTTTCCTAATGATTACGCTAGTGTAATTTTGACATAATAGCTGTGTGGTGGGGTGTGGGGGGGGGGCGGGGCTAAAAATTGTCCAATAAGTGATTACGTAATATTATGTCAATGTGAACGGCCCCTAAGAAGTAAAGAAAGGAAGCTGCGAAATGAGTAGACGCAGCCATCTGAAATCTGAATCCAGCAGTTGTATAGTTCTTCTTGGACTTTTTAGGAATCGGGAAAAGATAGGCACGTTGTTTGTTGTCTCACGACATTACGGTCGTGTACTAACAGCTGATAAACTCACCTACCTATCAATCCAATTCTGCCCATTATTCGTCAGTGATTGGGTGACGTGATCTGCACAGATCACCTTGAGACTCCAAATCTCAGGAGGGCTAGTGGTCATCCACCCGGCGTGGTTTGCGTGGAATTAAGACCTACGAGTGTCTTTCTTGATGGTGGAACAGCATGATACTGATAATTAATAACGTGGTTCAACTTCCGAGTGGGTCGTTATTGACCCAGTTGATCGATTTTAAAAGTTAAATCAACGTACAGGAGTAATGACCAAGATATAACATGTTTTTATACTAATATTTGTAATAGTTTGACAACATTATATTTAATTAATCAATTTTGTGGTCCTAGTGGGTCGCTAATGACCCATTTAACCGATTTTTCGCAGTTTATGATGATAATCACTTGCTGAGAGGCATGTTTGCACTTATGATGTCATGTTTTAGGCTGAATTCAAGAAGTTACACGGACAAATGTAGTAATAAGCAAGTGAGCCGAGTGGGTCGTTATTGACCCAAATTCTCTATTTTTGAAAAGTTAGAGTCACACAGTATTGACCATATGTTTTTAACTTATGCAACAGTTTTTATTTTATCCTAACGTCTTTGTTTCAGAAGTAATAGCCGAAAAACCGTGATGGGTCGTTTGTGACCCGGACGAGTGGGTCGTATGCGACCATAGCTGTATCTTTTAAAGTAAACGAGATACAGATTAGCTTTTTTGGATATCTCATTTTTGCTGTAATGTGACCTAGTGTGTTAAACGGCATCAAAATCGGCAAACTTTAAAACTCGTCGTCCCTAATGGGTTAATGCAAATGATCAAGAAAACAAAGCCCTGTTGAGGATCATTCCTTTTGACATAATACTTAAATAAACAGACAGGTGCGTTACCATAGAACGAAAGTTTGTAACGAGAAATCCCTCCGTAGTCATTGGAAAAAATAGCGTCTACAAGAACCTTTATTTGAGCCCAAGTGAGGTCCTCGGCTGCTATCCTGCCATAATACTTCTGAAGTATTTCTCGGTGTACATATTTATCCGGACAGCCAATAAACAGTGAGTTTGAATTTTCGTATTTCATACCATTCACAAAGAAATCTTCGAGTTCTTCAACTAAAGGCAGCCAAGAAATAACTGATGATACCATCAAGATAGTGAAAAGTATTACGACCACTTTTATCAAACTTTTGTTTGTGACTTCCTTAGGTATCACTAAATTGTTATTATATACACCGAAAGCTCTCAGTAAGCCCAAAGCAGTCATGGATAGCAAAGATACTTGGGAGCCGGTAGTGCTTATGATGCCTAAAGAAACACAGATGTTACTAGAAAGCCAGTTTAGTTGAATCGAGCAGTACGTTTTACTGTGATAAGTATTGTAAACCGAGATCATGGTAAGGTAGATACCAATCATGAGGTCACCCATGCTGATTAGAAAAACCAAGCTCTTGTTGAGAAGTGCAGCTTCTGATTTTGTAGCTCTGATACTAGAGATGTTCTTAAATACTGACACACAATTTAAGATGAGAGCTAACACTCCAATGGTCCAACCAACAAGCTTAAGGAAAGTGCTGTTAACGATTTCTTGTCCACAACTTTCATTGCATTCGTCTGAAATATCGGAGCAGTGAACAGTTTTATCACATTTCTGGGTGATTGGAAGGTACACGCCAGATTTATGGCACTTAAAGTGGTTAGTGCACCCCGACTCATCTGAACTATCTCCACAATCATCAGCCAGGTCGCATACTTTGTCATAAGTGATACATTTGCCGTTTTCACAAAGGAATAAATCATTACCGAGTTTTCCTGTTTTGAAATCTTTGATCAGGAAAGTAAGTTGACCTTCTTTGTCTGGGGTGAATATCTTATCCCTATCGAATTGTCCACTGCAAGAGTCCCACCTAATCGATCTTCTTAGTGGGCAAGTTGCATTCATGCAACGTCCCAAACAGCTTGCAAAAACGTAATACTCTCCAAAAAAGTATCTGCAGTCTTTCTTTGCGTCGGGTAAAATTATCTCAGTAGTTTTGTTCCGCCCAAAGATGTCTGTGTCAGGGAAAAGGAAACTTACTCTTGAACAATATTGGTTGGTAAGATTTGATATTTCAATAAGTCCTGCTAGGCAATGTTGCATTCGTATTTTCATCTTGCTATCTCTTGTAGCTTTTGCAAAAGGTATAGTTTGAATTCTCGACACACTGCATATCTCAATTTCATTACCGCAAGATTCTTTCCTATCACATAGGTTGGAAAAGCTAACAAACCTTAGGTCCGAGTTGTAACATATGAATACCTCGTCACATTCAGTTTCATCGTGACTAACAAGGCGGAATGTTGACCCCTTTCCACAAGTTGGCCAATGCACCTTTTCATCTTCACCATTCGTGCAGTCGACCAGTCCGTCATGCACCCATGCAAAAGGAAAGACAATGTCATCCATAACATGGGAAAGATACCTTCTCGTACATTTCTTTGTGGTCATAATTTGGCATAGGTCTAGACGTTCGTCACTACTATCACCGCAATCTGGGTGACCATCACACAAAAGGTGTTTGTGTATAAAACAGGAGCCACTACTTTCAACGCACGCCTTATCGATTCCATCGTCACATATTTGTGGTATGGAGTTGATGGGAATGGTTTGGACGTGTAATGATTTCAGGCAGATGATCTGCTTGGCAACAGTGGTGTTGTATCCACGAACTGGGCATTCTATACCCACTCTAGATGGGTCCGAGCAGTTGGTTTGGTCGCTGTA